CTTCGCACGCCATTGGAATGCAGAGAGACACGGGATTGGCTGAGGCCAGGTGGTCCAACATGTCTGCGCTCTAATCCGATGCCACTGTAGAATACCCGAGCCCTAATAGGTACAAGACCGGTACAACAGAACAGGCTTTATCGACCAATCAGAAGCCAGAGCCACACGTCAGGCGCCTTCCATCCGAGTCCCCACGCTGGCCACGCCGCACATTATATACTGCATCTCATCCATGTCCTTCTCTGGTTGGCTGCCTTCCTTTCCCGCATGCCATTGGATCGCAGAGAGACACAGGATTGGCTGAGGTCATGTAGTCCAACATGTCTGCGCCCTAATCCGACGCCAAACCGCACCACAACACCACAAATTTGCTGTTCTCGTGCGGGCACATCTATGGCTGATGCGACCACCCACCCAGTTACTACTGTTTGTGTGGCCTAATTAATATTTAAGAAGTAGCATGCCGATAACCTCTGTGCTTCAATTTTAAAAGAGCGTGACCGATTAACCACTCAACAAAAAATCGATAGACTCGTGACAGTCACGTTTTCTGACTCCTATTCATTTTGCTTATGGCACGTGGTGCTCCTCTTCAGTGGCTAGATGAAATAAGGATTATTGATGGTGGGTTTGGTTGGGAGGCCATAAGGCGTTCAAAACTTCGAATTGAGGGTCACAAGGCGTGGAGCTCGCTTCTTATTAAAGAGGACCCTCGGTTAGTTGTGGATGTACACAAAAGGCAAGTTTTCATCCTTCGGTTATCCTCTGAGGACAAAAACTCTTTGGATATGGTTCACACCTGTCGTAGTATTAACCTGCCTGAATCCACTAATGGGATTACCTAACTTATTTAAATGGTGTTCGGGATAATTAAGTGGTGGTAGATGGCTCTAGGTCTGGCAGTTTCGTTCGAGAATGACTGACTTGCGTCGCACCTTCTGATTTTTCACGAACGATTCTGGGTTCCCTGCTTGACATTTCCGTGTTTAATTGCTTGCCATAGTGCCGATGGCATGTTCCTCACTTTTGTTTGCCATCTTATTTTTTATCCTTGCTTGCGTGAGTTAAAAACTACCCGACATTTTCTTTACTCCAAATGGTTTCAAAAGTTCAATCTTGATACGTTTAGATTTGTTTCACAAAGCACTTAATCTTTTCTAGTGGGCCTTCGGTTTGGCCAAACGGCAAGACACGAAATTAGTCTATTTCTACTCTTAACGCCGTTAAGTTTTATCCTTCCGTCAAGCGGAAAAAGCTTTCAATTTAACTTCTTTTTCTTCAGTCTGCTTTCTGCGCTGTTACCTTGAAAGAAACTCGCAAGGGGTAACTGTCTTGCAACTTTATATTTGTAGCCTTGACCACTAAAGATCTTATTACCTTTGTCTGTGAAAATGACTATTTTTGGTAATGTCTGCAGTATTATGACGCCTTACTCAAATATGCACCTTTTGTGGCCCCTGGTTAACTTGCTGTGTGAGAGCTGGGTGTGGATTGTAGTTTTACTTGCATTGACTGGATTTTATCAGATCAAAATCAGCATCCCTGCAGCCTCCGTCAGTTTTCCTGCCCACTTTAGCTTCCTACATGCTGGTTGTGATGTGATCTGCACGAACACCTATCAGGCATCCCCGTCGACGTTGGCATCTGCGCTCAGTGTCGAAATACCCGAGGCCCGGCAACTAATGATAAAAGCCGTCACACTTGCTTTTGATGCGATTTCTCAGTTCGAAAAGGAATGCGATAAAGATACGTTGGCGAAACGGCTAACTCCTCTTGTTGCCGGGTCCCTCGGGCCCTATGGCGCCTGTCTGGTACGTCACCTAAATGCACATTTGATTCTTTTTACTAGGCAGACGGCTCAGAATACACAGGTTCATACGCGAAGGATATGGAGTTTGATGAACTTGTTCGATTTCACGTTCAACGTGCAACTATCCTGCATCACGCCGGCGTTCATTTTTTGGCTTGGGAGACTATTCCCTCGCTTATTGAAGTTAGCGCTATTGTTGAAGCAATGAATCGTTTGCCGGACTCGGCCATTGCCTGGGTTTCTATATTGACGAAAGACGGTTACACCACAGCACATGGAGAACCTTTACACCAGGTAGCCTCTATCCTCAGAGACTGTGAAAAAGTAAGTCAGTCATACAAAGGTGCTTCATAAGATTATACTCATGGTGCATGCGGACTGTTTTATTTCAGATATTCGCGGTTGGTGTTAACTGTCATGTTAGGCACGACTGCATTCCCATAGCCCTTGCGACTCTCGGCGATCTAGACATTCCTCCCGATCCAAACGACGACAACTACCACCCGAACCCCTTACAGGTACGTAGTGTACCGAAGTGTAATCCACCGGCTAGGCCTAGGCCGAAGCTTCTATTTGCATATCCAAGCAGTGGAGAAGTTCTTGTCAGGAAACGAAAACGAGTGAGAAGAAAACGCAAAATGGTGGATTTCTGGGTGTGGCCCGAAGACTCAGGTCCCGATCGTTGGGCCTCAACTGTGGCAGAGTATGCGGTTAGCCAACAAATGCTGCGCCAACAACCTGGACTAACTGCATTTCAAATATCACACAGCCGAGGACTCGCTCAATGGATTGGGGGATGCTGCCGTGTGACACCGGGTAATATTTCAGACCTCGCGATGCGCCTCAAACCGGAGGTGATGGCTCATCGCATTCAGTGCCCAACAACGTCAGTCGTTGTTGGGGACAACATCGGTACAACAGAAATGCAACAAGCACCAGAAATGAAGCAGGCCATGCAGAAACGAGGTGGTAAACGTAAAAACAAGCGGAAATGTCGATAATCGTAAATTTACTGGAGAAAATGTTACAAAATTGATTACAATTCTTCCATCACAAGGCTGCCGCGGAGAAGACGGCATTCGTCAATGTGTTTTGGGTCCTGTGGTCGTCGGTAAACTGTGTTCTCGTTTTGATATGCAAATCTGCAGTGGCAGATTTTGCTTGTCAAGCAAAACAAGGGACTATATAAACCTGAAATGCCTTATTTTTTACTGGGTATGTCGATTTTAGATAATCCTAGTTAAAATCACTGCAAAGTAGTTAATTTGAGCAGTACTTCGGTTAACGAGAACCTTACTTACCTGTCTACTTCAACTTCGGTTAAGCACAAATAACAATGGGGGTTTCTAAGATCACACGCTGACAACGTTTTAACTTAAACCGTTCACTGCAGACTATAAATTTGAAAGGATACGGTAGCCTCGCAACCCAGAGCAGTCCGTTGTCTAGGTAAACGTAGCCGGGCTCTGATTTCACGCCATTGCGCGACCTTGACTTCGTCCAACACACACGATGGGTACCTTCGTCAGAACTGCCTGAAAAGCTATCACCGCTGTCCTTGTGACTTCGGTTTTCATGTTGCAAGTTCCTGACTTCTGAATTTCCGACATCCAACTAAATATATATGCACAAAACGAGCTCTTCAGCCTCGCAAATTCATTTAAAAACCCAACCTAGCCTGGCTTCAATAAGTTGCTTTCAGGCGATGAAACCCCTCCCGACGTGACAGATATTTGTCACTATACCTACATGCTGAGTTTGGGTTGACAGTCGCGTGGACGGTCAAAAAGCCGTGTATGTTCCTAGACGTCCAGATATCCCAGTTAAGCAAAGTAACCGCGGTGACTCGTTTTCTGTTTGCAGTGAAAAGTTAGTTCTAGAGGAAATCCTAGGAACGTGCCTTAATAGACCAGCAATTCCGAGGTGTGGTTGCTTCGAATTAGATCTGTGAGAAGCCCAATGGAACGGATGTGAATAACTTCACCTTCATGAGGAACTCAAGAAATGCCTTATTAAAGTGCAAACTGCAAAAACCGGCTCTTTTTCTAAGCTTTTCCAAAATACTAATATTATTCTTAACCGTATGTGTGCGCACTTCTTTGTACACAACAATTTATCACGAACGAGGCATCCATAGATGGACTTATTACCAGTGATTGGCATAGAAGCTGTATCAGGCCTTAACACTAGGATATACAGTGTTAGTGTCTGATTGGCAAACATGCAAGCAGCCTGCTACAAGATGCGTAGAAATAAAATGAGACGCATCAGAATAACAGTGGAATTCACCTGTTGATCAAGTGTTGGGCCGAGGTGGAAGATGGGGGTGTTGGACTCCACTGGTCCGGGCCTAATTCTCGGACCGAAGCGAATGCGTACCGGGGCAGACGGTAGTGCCACGAATATGCGCATCAGCTGTGACCAAATAACTTCGCTCCCACTGTCAACTCTGTCATCGTTGACGTTGGCAGAGGCTGGGGAACAACGACACGGCAGGTAGAGGGGCAGGTCGCAAGCGAGGAGGCTTGAAACAGCTCGTCGGACGTCACAGCCTTGCATAAGACCCGTCATTGGGCGGTCAGGACCGGCGAGAAAGAAACGATGGCCCAACGGACACTCCATTTCGAAGCCGAGAAAGAGCTTGATAGTGTCAAAGTCACGCTGGCGACCACCACGGTGTTTCGATGCAACAGACACAGACGAACGGGACAACTGAACATCCCAAGGGAGAAGAAAATTGCTTCCTCGGAGGAAACCTGGGTGGGACATTCCTACAACGTGTCCGAAATGCCAACAAACTTTTAGACGGCCTACTAATATCGGGTACGTCACCGGTGGTGAAAGTATTAATTCTACCTGATGAATGTGAGTAGCTGAAGTACTTGCCGAGCGCGTGGATCGCCCATGAGGGGTAAAGTGGTAGAGTCCCAGCGGGCTGCCCAAGAACAGGCATACCCTGAACAAAAGAAACCGCGATTTCCTGCCTTGAGGAGGCGACCTTTACATCACGTACATTGGTGTGTTCTTTGGCCAATTCATCGTCATCGGATGCATTGGAGGCCGCTTTTGTTTCGCAACGAGTTTTCACAGGTAAAAATTGATCTGAGTCTTGTGAAACGCTGCCAGTGGTTCCATCCTTAAAGGAATTCAAACCAGACACCTCGGCCGATGCGGAGGATTCATAGGAGTCCGACTCTTTGTAAAAAAACAGAAAAGTACAAAGTCTCTGTGGGATTTCGAACTACTCACCACCCTGTTCAATCTATAATGTACTTAATAAAACGTCTAGACAAAACAACGGGAAGTATTTGCACTTGAGGCTTACAAAAAGATCTCAGCTGCTTAAAAATTAAATTAAACAGATGAAAAAGTTACCTGGGAGTTGTCTACAGTAAAAAAATTAGCATTTTATTAACACTCATTTTGAGTGCAAATAGGTACTGTTATAGCATAAAATGACAATGTTACGGGTTGTCACTAATCTGAAATGCATGCATTTAGACACTATTCATAAATTACAAAGTGATTTTCAAGTTCCTTTATAATGTCTTCGAAAAAAACATAAAAATAAAAAATCAAGTTAGGCAGAAGGACAAACGCAGTACCCAAGTGTTGGCAAATGGCAAACTTGCCAGGTGGCATTAGCTACCCATGTTAGCACTCAAGTGACCTGCGTACAACAGCACCCAAACAGATACTAGTTAGGGAGAATTTCCTCCATGGCAATCAAATAATGCCACCTGGGTAAGTAAACAATTTATCATGGTCACGGAGATTATGCTGATCTAAACTAAACACTGAATTGTCCCTATATACGTTATGTATGCAAGATAAACGGGCCTACAGTGTTTTTCATTTTAAGAGAATAGGTCATACTATGTGATCCACAGCAAACGGTTTACATTTCCCAATTTTACCTCTTGCGTCAAGAAATGTCTCTTCTTCGGCATCACGCAGGTCGGTCCCATCTGTGAACTGCTCGTCTTCGACCATGTCATTGCCACTCAAGGGCTGGCGACTGTTTCCAAGAGCCAAGTCCGAAAATTCGACTTCGAGCTGGGACGCCTGGACTTTCCCAGTGACGTTAGCGCCACCGTGTTCGATACAGAAATTGTGACCCAAAGCGTTCAGAAACAATGGTGCCAGTGGGATCGTGGTAAGCTGAAACGAGGTTCCTCTACATGAGCATAACACAGACTAAGGTCCTTTGAAAATAACACTCACAACTACCTCACCTTGTTACAACATGCAGACTCAAGGGAGTTATAAAAATTCCAGTTGGCCTCTTGATAGTCGAAAGGATCCAGACGCAGGGCCTGAGTGCGTCCGCAGTTACAGTAGCTAATATATCTTTGATCAGATCTGTGTGGAATTACGGAGAGATGCTGCAGGGCGGTGGAATCCTCGCAAGGAGGTTCGCCTGAGGGTTCCTGATGGTCTTCCTGTTTCTCGAGTATCTTCAAAACTGCCTCGATCCACGCACAACGCCACTGGCCCACGACACCTGCAGATTTAGAAAAAAACTGTGCTGGTAATATAAATTGTTATGCCGCATACGTGAAACACAATAATCTGCAGCTGCTAGTTTGAATTAGACTATCCAAACATTTGAAAGTATTAGTTTAACCTAACAAAACAGACCATGTGGCACATCCTGAAGGCAATCGGAGAGAGTGGTTTCATGGAGATGGGCGATTTTCGTCGACCTTGATGCTATATTTCCTGCGTCGCAAGCTGTATTTATGAGACTAGCGAAGTTGGCTGTGGAATATTCATCCATACTCTTCCTTTTGTCCTTTAGAGCACGAAAAGCATTTGCTATGCAAGGGAAACGATCAGGAATGCGATGAAGTTCCTGCCGGCAAATCGCCCCTGAAACTAACAACGCCGGGCAGCCTACACGACCGGCGAGGTAGAGGCGGGCCAGTCGACGCGTAAGACGATCAAGGGCCAATATAACGCAGCGACCGCGTGCAAGCCGAAGAAACACGTTGTAGGAGGAAACTACCTACAAAATAGCCACTGAGTTTAGGTTAAGGGGTGAGATCTGACTAAAGGCAACATCTGATCTTTTGTATTTACAGGTATTAAAGTCGAGCCAAAGAAATGCATGTTAAGTGGTAAGCGACCCTGATCACTCAATTGTGAACGTTAAATAACTGAGAATCACAAAAGTGCAACGTCAAAAACATTCAATTACGGTACCAATAAGTGACCGAACCGAGGTCCACCTGCAGAAAATGAAGCTCGTGGTAGACAAACAGGCTAGAGGTATAAAATTTTAGTTAAACTTGCCTTTGCAAGATGGTATGTTCTTGAGTAGTGAGATGGCAAGTCTTGCCGGTAGTGAGCCTCAGCTGCTGAAAGCGCAGCCTCAGAACGTGTGCTAGACAGCCTTTGGTCTAACTGTGATTCAGTAGCCAACAATGTGACCGCTGTAGGCTTGGCAGCAGCAGCGTCCACGTTTGTATTGTCCGTTGCGGAGTGGAACAGTTTGTGCCAGTGACGGCTCAGGGAGGAGTCAGAATTACCTTCAAAGACTTTCGATCCACCTGCGACTTTTGTCGCCGAGGAAGTGGACGCAGGTTCTTCGTCATTCATCAGACTACTATACAGTTTATAGCACGCCTAAATTCAATAATGAGATTGTAGCTACCGTATAATTCAGACAACGGACACTGATAAGCTCTGGTACTGTGGATCTGTGGAGGACTTGGGTTAACTAGGCGCTAAAACGCTGTTTGACAACAGACAGCACAAAAGCACATATACGGTGCGGTTTCACATTTATTTAAGACTTAATGCTCGGACGTGAAAAAAACTAGCTCTCGAATCCAGTGGATTTTCATTAGTAAAACGAAAGCCAGCAAAAATTACAACACCGGGAAATGAAAACTCTCAATTAATTTTTTATGAAAATCATATTTTACTGATGCTCCTGACGAACATGTCTGACAGACGTTTGTGAAATTGCATTATAATTTTGATAGATAATAGAAGGCAAACATACGATAAACCAAGATTTGCAACTGGGCAATTCGAAGGAATGATGTGTATGACTTTCGGATTGATTTCGGAAGACAGGATCATCAAGAAAGGATGTTAAATGGCACTGGAGGAATGCGGGAAAACTACAGTCGTCAGGCCGGTCAGGTGGTGGATAGAGAGGCGAGTGAGGGGTCGCGCTTTGGTTCTTTATGATATCTGAACCTTCAAGTAAAGAGGGAATCCCGGTAGCTAGTAGCAAGGATTCGAGCAATTGTTGAGCCAAGTGGCCCTTGTCGGAGTGTCCATGATGTTCCGTGTGTTGATTGAGGGGTTCGATAAGGTCAGGAGGAAGAACGCGAACGTAACTGTAGCCCATCAAGTCGAATAACCGATTCTCTGATGAATTACTAGAAAAAAAAATAAAATACAATCCATAAACCTACCCTTCAAGCAAGCCACTTTCATGGAAACCATTGAAAATTTGGCCCGTTAGATTCCTTTCGAAGGCAAGCAGCGAGTTGGGGTCCTGAGAAAAAAATATGTTTGCGATTCATTATTCAGTTGGCATCACATGTTCTACATAAATAATTGAATAAAAGCCGCTAGCACAGAAGACATAGTTACAATTTATAGTGAGTTTGCCAGAGCTAACGTAAAACATTTCCCATTTTTTAATAAAATAAAGAGAGGAAATTACTTCGGAAAGCTTCCTGGAGGCAATGGTCGCTGGAAGCTTGAAAACAAAGAGCAGGCGTGGCGTGGCAATTCTTCCGACGGAAATGCAATATCGGGGCAAGGGTAACGTCTTCAAGAGAGACTCAACTGTGTGAGATAACTGACGCCTAATAATATAAAGCTATTCAAATTTTTTTGATGTCTACCTTAGCCGGCTTATCAATTTGAAGCAGGCGATATATCGTGTATCCAGACTAGTTCCATACGTAACAACCTAGGACGATTGCACAGTTATATGCCTTAAACCTACTATAATAAAGTGCGAAACGAGAAATAAGAAATATAAATTTTTCAGTTTTTCGGTATCCCACTTCTCCAAAACGCATTCGATGTTCTACAAGCGACTTCAGATATTAGGTAAACTTACATCTGATTTTTCTAGAAGGCTAGATAATAATTGTTCCGAATCACGAAAGTGTAGGAAGACTAGTTGGTGTTCACAATCATAATAACCTTGAATGAGACTCTATAAAAATTGTAATTGTACAGAGAATATCGACTGTGTACGTCAGTACAAGGGAGCGAAAAGGCGTTTCGGTTGAGAAAGTTTTCGACTAAACTCGATGAAGTCATCTGTCTAAACGAGTCGAAGAAGCCAATGATAGAGACAACAACGACACTTTTCGATTTCTGAGGAAGTAGTCTAAGGAATAAAAGGATTAAAAACACAAGATACCGGAAATCGAATCCAGGTGGAACAGCAAAGCGACCTCCACAATAGGTCGACATGTTGTTCTACAACATTAGAAAGTATTTTTAGTCCGGAGATATGAGAATAATTGCCTTGGCAGACAACTGGCTCAACAGAAAATTAAAATACGTCAAAACACCAAAGAATCCAATTCCCTGTGATTGAAAAACTAGTATTTCAAACAACTGAATTTGTGTGACAAAATTTCAAAAAAATACGTCGGGTTTTGCAAAAATAATAATCATGTACCAAAAACATAATAACTAACATTTTTTTAGATTATTAACATACAATGCACTCAAAAACCGTTTATGTCTTGGGTACAAAACGGTCCTATCAATAAACTAGTCCTGCGATTGTGGTGTGGTGTAATGTGGCTGTGGTGTGGTGTGGCGTCGGATTAGGGCGCAGACATGTTGGACCACCTGGCCTCAGCCAATCCCGTGTCTCTGTGATCCAATGGCATG